CTTAAGAATTATCTTTTTTTTTTTAATAAGGAATAGGGAGGGGCTGGGGCTCAGCGGTAAAGCGCTTGAGGTTCCATCCTCAGCACCACATAAAAATAAAGAAATAAAATAAAGGCATGTTTTCCAACTACAACTAAAAAATAAGTATTAAAAAAAGTGTTGATTTTTTTTAAAAAAGGAATAGGGAATGGTTGCAATGGAAGCAGGAAGTAGCTCTAAGGAAAAAAAATCTCAGGGAAATAATCTTGTTTTAAAAAATGCCTCCTCAAATTGTTCTGCTACAATAAGTACTATACCATACACATTTTTCAGAGAAATAAACAGAATTAATTAAAGGTAATAAATTTGTAGGGTCTCTACAATTGAAACAAGTACATAAATAACTGAGGCAGGAAAGTTCATTAGAGTACCAAGTGCTAAGAGGATTCAAAAGAGGGAAAAAAGCACATTCACTTGGGAGGGCTTCTTAAAAGGGGTGGATTTGGGCTCAGTCTTGAAATCTCTTCCACAGAAAGGAGCTATTGGTTGGCCCAATGACAGAATCTGACTTAATGCTGTAATTGAAGGGGCTGATTCCTGACACAAATCAGGGTCCATACATGAGTGAGGGAGATTATTTGAAGCCAAGAATCTTCCCAGGGAAGTTCTAATTTTCCCCGTTGTCAATGGTATAGACAATCACCTTTTTGTACTTGAATCATTACTAAAAATTAAGAAAAATATTAAGGTGATTAAACACGAGAGGCATCCTTCCTTTACAGGAAAGCACTATATGATGCAGCTCAAATTATTGTCATACATACTTTTGCATGTAAAAAATGTCCAGTATACAGAAAAAGATAATTGGACACAGAAGGAAACCAGATTAATGGGAAAAAGTAAAAACAGCACAGACACCCCCAAAGAAAAATTGGACCTGCAAAGGCATCAGATACTAGCATTTTCGGACAAAGACAATATAAAAGATTACCTATATATGAGTCAAATGGATTCCCAAAATTCTTCAAGTTCTCCAGCCTTCCCTGTATCCACATCTCTGCAATTTGACTTTGCAGTTCCTCTTTTAAAAAAGGTGGACTCTATTTCACCTCCTCTTCAAACTGAGTTGAGGCTTTGCAGGGGGAGACATGTTTGCTGGAGATTAGAACCCAGGGCCTTAGTACATGCAAAGCAAGCACTTTACCAACTGAGCTATATCCCCAGCCCTCAAACCATGTTGAATTTAGCTAATAGGATGCAGTAAATGTGGCTTGGGAATATAAGCATAGGTCCCAAGAGGCCCTCTATGTGTCTCTTCTCTCTATTGAATCACTTGACCCCTACAGGACAATAAACCCAGGCTAACCTATTGAAGACAGGGGAGAATGTGAGGGATAAGACTAAGGGAAGACAGCAATAGCTAGCAAATCACAAAAAGCTAAGCCACCTGACCAATACACAGCTGTCCAGGACACATGATGGAGTACAGCTCCATCCAGATGGCCTCAGTATAAATGACTAACCCACAGGATTGTGAGCTAAGTAAATGACTGCTGTTGAGGGCCACTAAGTTTTAAAATAACTGGTTAAAAGGAAATTATAAAAAGTGACGGAGGAATTGGGAAAAAATCAAATAGAACTTCTAGAAATAAAAAAATAAAATATTGAAATGAATGGTGTGGTAGATATAAACTATGTTCACAAACTCTTTAGCATTTTTACCTTTGAAAGCTGAACTCGTAGTCCCCTGTCCTAAAATGTTGACTAGATTCCCTGACAGACTCCTAACAAACACAGCGTGGAAAAGGCATGGTGCCTGATTCCTCAGGCCAGGTCTGAAGAACCAGTGCATTTTCTGCCTTACTTTCTCAAGTCACTGGCCTGGGGAAAAGTCAGTCACCATGTCATGAAATTTTCATGCAGCCTTGGGGAGCTGGCAATGTAAGTGAGGCACTTAGGAAGCATCTTCCAGAGTTGGACGAGCCAGAAGACATCACCCCTGCAACCTTTCGAGGAGCCTGGGAAAGAACTACCAGCTAAGTAGCTCCCAGATTCCTGACCCACAGAGAATAGTAGTGTATAAATGCCTTCTGAATAAAGCTAGAATTTTGGGATAATTTGCTCTACAGCCATGGATAACTGATGATCACTCGATAAGTACAAAGCAGCTGGCTAAATATAAAATTAGCATATGGCCCAGCAATTTCACTCCCAGATGTACAACCAAAACATTAAAGCAAGGACTTAAGCTTATTTGTATACTTATGTTCACTGCAGAATTAAAAAAAAAATTTACTTGTAGACAATACCATTATTTGGTTGATTGAATGATTTTTTATATGGTGCTGAGGATCGAACCCAGTGCCTCACATGTGAGAGACAAGTGCTGTACCACTGCAGCATTTTTTTATAACAGCTAAGCAGTGGAAACTTCCCCAATCTCCATCTACTGAAGAATGGATAAACAAAGTGTGATATAGACATAAAATGGGACATTATTTACCACCCCCCCAAAAAGAATGGTTATATCATATGTCTGAACCTTGAGAACAGTATGCTAAGTGAAGTAAGCCAGACTCCAAAGGACAAATACTGCAGTATTCCACTCAAATACCTAAAATAGACGAATTTATAGAGAGGGATAGTAAATTAGGAATTACCAGGGATTGCAGGGGGAGGGGAATAGGAAATTATTACTTAATGGTCTCAGAGATTCTGTTTAGGGTGATGAAAATGTTTGGAAACAGATAATAGTGATGATTGTACAACAGTATAACCATAATACCACTGAATTAAGCACTTAAATATGGTTGAAATGGCAAATTTTATATCATGTATTTTAGCAAAAAATTAAAATAACTGACATAAGAAAATGGTGGGACAGCTAGGTGCAATACCTTGTGGACATGTGCTACAAATAAGCAATCATCAATAAATGGTGCCGTTTCTCCCTTTGCCAGGATTTATGGCTCTGGGCATTAAGGGGTGTAAATGAGAATAGATCCTCTTCACATAATCCCTAGTGATGCCCTTGAAAAAAATTTACCACCTGTCCCCACAATTTGAGCTTTGCTGATTTAGAGCAGGTTTTTATTTCCCTGTTTCTCTCTTTAAAAAAAAAAAAAATGGAATGTCATCTTTGAGGAGGGGCCATGCTAGTCTTCCCTGTGTCATTCCAGTTTTAGTATCTGTGCTGCTGAAGTGAGCACTAGAGCAGGGGTTTTCAGCCTCAGCATTATTTTCTTTTTTTTTTTTTTTTTAAAAATATATATTTTAGAGTTCTCAGCGGACACAACATCTTTGTTGGTATGTGGTGCTGAGGATCGAACCCGTGCTGCACGCATACCAGGCGAGCGCGCTACCGCTTGAGCCACATCCCCAGCCCTCAGCATTATTTTCATTTGGCATGAGATAATCCTTTGTTTATGGGGGACAATCCTGCGCATTGTAGGATGGTAGGTTGTTCAGCAGCATCCCCAGCTTCCACCACTAGATGTCAGTAGCACCTGCTCCCCAGTTGTGACACACACAGTTCCAAATATACTCAGAGGGAGCAAAATCATAATCAGTTGAGATCCACTGGTCTGAAGTCATCAGTGCCAAAAGAAGAAATGATTCCATCAAGGGACAAGATGATCTTTCCGCTAAGCTTGAAGAGGAGACTGTCGTTTGGCCACATAGGGTTCCTCAGGTCAGTGAATTAATAGGTAAAGAAAGGTTCAATCCCCAGCACCTAAAAAAGAAAACCCCTCTGAATCTAAAATAAGGAATCTCAAGGTCTCAGATGGTTTTTCTAGGGAATTCTACCAAATATTTAAGGAACAAATAGCAATTCTATTTTAATGCACAGAAAATAGGGAAGAAAGGAATACTTTCTAAATTATTTTATTAAGTCAGCATTGACCCAATACCCAAACAATCAAAGACAAAGCAAAAGAAACAAACAAACCTGTAGACCAATATCCCTCCTGAACATAGATTTTTAAATCCTCACTAAAATAATAGAAAAGAAAAGAATAATTTGCAATAACCAAGTGGGGTTTCTCTCAGGAATGTAAGACTGGTTCTATTTGAAAAATCAATTAAAGCCAACATGCTATAGGTCAAAGGAAGAGAAACTATGCAATTGCAACAACTAACATGAAAAATTATTTGACAAAATTCAATGTCAATTCAGGATGTGACTTTCAGCAAAGTATGAATAGTTGCACCTTTCTCTGTTTGATAAAAGGTACTTGAAAACTATAGAGAACATCAGATTCAATATGACTGAATGTCAGAAGTCATCAAATGATTTTCTGAGCCTTTGCCCTTCATTGTCCATAATAATTACATTAAAATTGCACTACAAAACATTCAATTTTAATTGATAATATGCATATTGAAATGTTTAGAAGTTGCTATAGGCTGAATGTTTGTGTCTTCCCAAAATTCAAATGCCAAAACCCAATTTCCAATATGATGGCATTTGGAGACAGGGCCTTTGGGAAATGCTAGGTGACAAGGGGGCTAAGGTCTCATGAATGGGAGTAGTTCCCTTATAAGAGAGACCCCAAGAGTTCCCTTGTTCCTTTTTGCCATGTGAGGTACAGGGAGAAGGCTGCCATTTATGAACTGGGAAGCAGGCCCTCCGGAGACATCAAATCTGGTACTTGACCTTGGACTTCCCAGCCTCTGAAAGTATGAGAAATAAGTTTTTGTTGTTTAAATGTCACTCAGTCTGTGATAAGTTGTTCAGGCATCCCAAACAGACTAAGACAGGGAAATTTGCAATCTCCTTTGAAATGGGTCAAAAAATAACAGGGACTGATGAAAGGGAGAGGGAAGGCTAGCTCAGCAGTGTATGATAAAGCAAATACAGTAAGATGTTAGCAGGGTAACATGACACAGAAAATTGTAAGGAACCCTGGGAACTCAAGGCAATGGTAGGGTTTGAGGGACAAGGTGCTGTTTTGAACTCATAGCTGTGAGGTGATGTTTTAGTGCATTTCTGCTGCTGTAACAGAATGGCTGAGACTGGGTAATTTATAAAGAACAGGAATTTATTTTTTCACAGTTCTGCAGGCTGAGATGCCCAAGACCAGGGAGCCAACATCTGGTCTGGTGAGGGCTTTCTTCTTGTGTCCTTACATAGCAGAGGTGGAAGGCAGGAGAAGGCAAACTCCATGTCCTCATTTGACAGAAGAACAGAAGAGAAAACCCACTCTGGCAAGTCCTTGTCCTAGAGCAGAGCCTGGGACCTAAACACTCCCCATCAGGCCCCACCTCTCAACACTGTTGCACTGGGGACCAAGTGTCCAGAACATGAATTTTAGAGGACAAATTCATAAGAGTTAGTGTCCTGGGCCTGCTTCCCTACCATTGTCCTGCTTTCCCGCCATTGTCTTGGACCAACAGGAACCCACACCTGGCACAGTGTCCTTCAGACAAAAGTCAGGGTAGCACCGAGCTCAGGCTTGCCAATGCTGTGAGGACCAGGGGGCTTTTTGCACCTGTCATGCAAAAGCTAAAAAAGGGTTCTGTAGCTCTATGGATATATGAGAAGACAAAGACATTAGGGCAGACAGCATGATAGGAAATACAGAAAGCTGCTGCACAGTTTGCCAAGAAGATAAAACAACTGTAGACATTAATGTACCTAATAAAATATCCTTATATGAAGCAAAACATGATAGATGATAGAAGAAATGGATAAACTCAGCATCATGGTGAGGGATTTCAATGTGTTTTACTTGATTATAAATATTTGCAATAATATAAAAAATAACAACTTTGCAACTAACAGTGTTGACCTAATGGGCTACGAGAAGTTCTGCATCCAATAATGAGACAATTACATTTTCTTTACTACATTCTTTACTACATACCATTTTACAAAGCCAGCATAACCCTGACAATGAAGTAAAAAACATTAAAGGAAAACACACATATTATACAGACCATGATTTATGAGCACACAACATGAATTAGTTAAGCTAGAAGTTAACACTGCTCAGTAGCTCATGGGTTAAAAATAAATTATAAAGTTATAAAATAACTGAGACAATAAAATGAAAGTGGGAATTCAGCTGAAGCAGTTAGCCAAGAGTAGTTTATAGCCTGAAAAGCTTATCATAGAAAAGATGCACCAAAATTAAGGATTAAAGTTAGGAAAGAAAATAATCCCAAAGAAAGCAAGAGCAAAGATATAATATAAATAAAAGTGGAAATTAATGAATTAGGAACAATAAAAATAAGGGCAGAAAATAATGACATACAGTCGAACCTGAATTCCTTTAAAAAACCCATCAACAAAACAGATAATCCCCTGATTATATTAATTAAAATTACAACAAAAAGGTGGTATAACTACAAATTAATAAATATTAAAAGGCTAATAATAAAATACTAGCAAACTATATTTGAAATCTTACATGGCATGTGAAAATTCTTAGAAAATTTAGATAAAATGAATATATATCAACAAGATTTGTTTGTAGAATTTGATAATTCTATAGTTTGTATTAAATTCTGAATTCTAAACAGCTCTTTCTTAAAACTGATGCAAGAAAAAATAAAAAAGCTTGAATAGTCCTATAACTAGTAAAAGAACAGAAGCACTGGTTTGAAAAATCTTTCCAGAAAGAGGATGCCATGTTCAGATTGTTTAAAACATATTCTTCTAAAGTTTGAAGGACTGGAATATTCCAGCTTTATAGACTCTTTCAGGTAATAATAATAAAAAGGAAAATTCCTAAACCCATTTTACAAAGCCAGTATAACCCTGACAATGAAGTAAAAAACATTAAAGGAAAATGACAGCCCTATTTCACTCATGAATATACAAGAAAAATATAAGCAAAACAGTAACAAATAAAATCAAACAAAATTTTAAAATAAATAACAAAGTAAGCCAGGTGCAGTGGCAATACCTGTAGTAATTCCAGCAACATGGAAGACTTAGGCAGAAGGATGGAAGCCAGCCTTAGCAACTCAGCAAGACCCTGAGCAACTTATCTGATGTAGCTCAGTGGTTAAATGCTCCTGGGTTCAATCACTAGTACCAATAAACACAAATGAATCAAAGAATGCACAAATTAGATTTATCTCATGAACACAAACTTTTTAAGCCTTAATATTAAGAAATTTATAAGTGTAATTTGTAGTGTTAATGGATTTCACTGCATATTCTCCATTTGCCTGTCAGATTTACTCTCCTCCATCCTTCTTGTATCCATAGAGACTCACGCCCCTCTCCCTTTCTCTGGGACTTCCAGTTGGATCCAGCCAATGGCAGCAGTCAGGAGACTGGAAAAGCAGACTACTTCTATAACTTCTGTGCTCTGAAAAGCCTTAGTTTGGCAGTGGTTACTTGTCTTTACCCGATGCCACAGGGCTTATCAAACAGCACCTCCCCACAACCCCAGCTATCTTCAGGTCCTGGTAACAAGGCCTTCTGTAACCCCTTCAGGCTCAGGGCTGGAAGACTGGTTGCTTCTCTGTCCCTTCTGACTCACTTGTAGCTGACCATGCCACTGCAAATGGTTTCAAAGTTTAAGTCTCTTCACTTGTTCCTTTGAATACACTGTTTGTGCTGGGATCTGAATGGCACACAAAGTAAGAGAGAAAATTGTGTCATTATCTCAAGAGATGCAAAAAAAAAAAAAAAATTAATGAAATGAAATATGCATTACCACAAAAATTCTTAGTAAATTATGACTAGAGAACATACATTCCTGATAAGTAAATATAAAATCCCTAGACATCATCCTAAATGAGAAGACTTTACAAAAATTCCTTTGAAAATTGGGAAACAAGACAAGGGTGCCCTGTCACCACTTCTGTTTAGCATAGCACTAGACTTCCTAACCTGGAGGTCCTAGCCAGTGAAGAAAAGAACTTAGGAGCTGGGCATGGTGACACATACCTGGAGCCTACAGATTGGAAAGGAAAAAAATAAAATGCTACAGCCATGTGCTCAGCACGTGCAAGGCCCTGAGTTCAACTATCACTATCAAAATACACTAACCAACCTCACTTTAATACTTATATAAATAAAACATTAAATTTACGGTAACCTGTTATGCAGCAATAGGCAAATTAATGAAAATACCAAATTCTTTTTTTTTTAATGTGAGAGAGAGAGAGAGAGAATTTTTTAATATTTATTTTTTATTTTTTCAGCGGACACAACATCTTTTTTTTTTAATATGTGGTGCTGAGGATTGAACCTGGGCCACACGCATGCCAGGCGAGCGTACTTGAGCCACATCCCCAGCCCGAAAAATACCAAATTCTTAGGAATAAATACGAAAGATAGAAAACATCTATAGGAAAATGCATGAACTGAGAGAGATGACTTCTGAATATAGATATTAAAAATTCATAAAATGAAAGTTATGTGATTTCCAATTTCCAAATAGGCCTATAGATCCAATGCAGTGCTGATTAAGAAACAAACAATAACAAAAAACCTCAAGATTTGTTTGTAGAAGCTGATGATGCTAAAGTTTGTATTAAATTCTGAATTATAAACAGCTACATCTAAACTAGATATTCAAATGTAGGAGTAAAGGGCTGAACATAGCCAGGATACACATCAGTTGTTTTCCACTCTGAGATCACTGGGAACAAAAACTAGAGAGCCCCAATCTTTAGTGAAGATGGAGTTTGCCAAATGCATGGGTATCTAAATCTTGTTTGGAAGCAACATTTTTAAAGTGCATTTTTTCAAATGCTGGGCTAACAATGTACTATTCTTGGATTTCCGGATGTGGAGGGAGTGTAAGGGTGTGTTTAAATTTTCCAATGAATGTGAATAAACAAATCCAATGTAGCAAGGTTCAGAGCAGGGATTAAAGCATACCACTGAATAGTCCCTCCAAATCCCCCCCTTCTCTGCCCAATTTAAATCCACTCTAAGCCCTTTCCTGGTAGTCACGCAAAAAATTAAGTATTAACACTTTACCTCAAAGGCCTTTGGATGACTGCAAAGAAATCAGCTGTACTATTTATGGTTACAATTAGACCTAAATTCACTAAAATAGTTACAAAAGGGCCCTGACAATGCTTTGTAACTCCAAATACTAACATTGTTTCTCAAGACAAAATGCATTTGTTTTTTAAAAGTTTTCTATAAATGCATTATGGAGGCTATTATGTATTATGGGCAAATGCGGCAACTGCTTGCAGAATTATTAGAGTTCAGCCTTTGTCAACTGTGCGTTCAACTTAAAAAAAAAAGAGAAAGAAAAAAGAATAGGCGATTTCTTTCTTTTCTCCTTTCTATGTACCTATCCCGAAGTTCAAGTTTAATCTACTAATTCCAAGATTTTTTCTGAACGCATGCCACTAGGGAAGATGAGGGAAGTCAGATATTTGGGAAGATTAACCAAGTCCATCATTTTAATAAAAAGCAAGGAATGTTCCTTTAGATCCAAGTAGTATGCTACATTAAATAGGTCAAAACACTGACTCGTCATTTAAACACTATTTCTGAGTGCACACTCCTACATATAAACTGTAATGCCTCGTTATGAAATATTCACATATATTTTACATACTTTCTTATCAAAGGAAGAAATTTTGCAATTATCCTAAATCTATTTTATTATCGAGTGATGATGGGGTAAACATCGGAAACATCCAACATCGGAACAGTGGCCAGTCAAGCTGGCTTCCCTAAGACGCGACTGCGCACTGATCGCTGCGGAAGCGATCGCCCCGACTTGGGAGGAGAAGGGTCTTTTCTCCGTTATTTCAGCCACAAAGGGTTTCTTTATAAAAAGCGGCCTCCAGAGCCAGCGTTCCCTATTCCTACGCCGGCTGATGGCTCGGGGGATCTGTGCAACCGCAGCTGCTCGGCCTGGGCGGACGTATGCGGCACCCCGCGACCCAGGAGAGCCGGGCACCCAGGCGAGCCAGGCACCCAGGTCCGCGAACCTCGCGCCACCTCCTCCGTCGGACCACCCAACTCTGTCAGCTCATTGCGCAGCCACCCGGATGCTGCTTCCGCGAAGCACTGAGAAGGCTGAAGCCCCGCCCCTGGTGGTGATCGACGGGCAGTTTTATCCAATGGCCACCGCCCTCGGTCTGGGGGGGCGGGGCCAGAGCCAGGCGCGCGGAGGGATCTCGCCTGCCCTCTAGTCCCGGATCAGGTGTTGCGGCCGGCGCCATTTTCTCGAGCCTCTTGTCTCGGGTGCCGCCATGTTGGTGAGGAGAAATCACCGTTACGGCCACTGTCCAAATCCCCGCGTCGCCGCCCGCCGCCCGCCCGCTCCCACGCCTCAGCCACCGGCGGCGGATAGAGACTAGAGCGGCAGCGCCGGCAGCGCGGGCCGTTGCCCCGTGTGTGCAGTTAGAGCCCCATCTCTCTGGCGTGGTGGTTAATAGACTGGAAAGTCTGTGTGTGTCGCTCACTAGTAACCGTGAGTTTTTACCACCTCGTCACCGCCGGCGGCGGCCGGGAGCAGCACCCGCGGGCGGCGCA